TGGTATAGTGTCCAAACTGACTGGCACTGAGAAAGAAAGTAGTTTGCGATTGCACTAGAAATAAGTGGTTTACTTCTCCCATCTGTTGTAAACATTTAAAACTTTGTATTTCAGTTTCTTTTGAACTATGCCACTGCTGAACTTTTAACAAGCACTACGACATAACAGATAATTTTAGTTTAGGTGATCCACCCCTTAATTGTACCCCCAGTGGTATATTTCTGAGTAAGCTACTATCTGAACATTAGTTAGATCCATCTCACTATTTAATAATGAAATTTATTTTTTTAATTTAAAACCAAATAAAAGCTTAACTTTGAACCATGGAAAACAGAGTGACTTATTGGTCAAGCAAACAGTATAGTCATTCTACTTGCTCTAAAGAAAAACAGACAACCTTTATGAACCCAAAAAACTATCACAATGAAGAAATGTGTTATTAAGCCCTACTGTACACTGGGGAGCCATAGCTGAATTATTGGCTGAGTTAAGTATCTGTCAGATTCTAAAATACTGAACGTTACTAGGAGGTTATACACAAGTGTGGTATGCTTTAGAGGCTTCAGTCAGGATGGCTTTTGGCATTTAATCTTCAAAAATAGATATAATTAGCTGTGGAATCCAAATACTTACTGTACCTTTGTACGATGCTGGATAAAACGGAAAAGAAAAAGACAGCACATAGCCTATCCTCAAGATTACTTTCTCATGGACTGAGGTGTGTGACAAATATACAAATAGCTATACTAAAGAGGAAGGTCCTCATAATCGTGTGGCATCAACCGGGTGCAAGCAACGTGAGAGGCATTTTTATGCTATTATTACGTCTTTCAACTCACAACAAGAGAAGAGTAACAACTGCTCTATTTACATGGGGGAAAACTTCAAGTAAGAGAGGTTCACGATTTGCCAGGTAGAAAGTATTAGAACTTAAATTTGAATAAGATCTTTCTGTCTCCAAAGGTCTTCACATTACGTTTCTACTGAGCTGGTTTATAGTTATAATTTTCATGTTTTAAAAACTCTACCTAGGTTAAGTACACAGTTCTATAAGTTTTGAAAAATATATATGCCTGAAAATCTGTCTTACAATCAAGATATTATGTCTTTGTCTTTGGTCAGGGATTGGAGGAAGCACCGTTGGAGCTTGGGAATAGGGAATTGTGTCAAAGTTATTGGTTTTAAGGTACCATTACAGACAATCCTTAAAACTTGAGTGGGATCTCCCAAGGTGATGATGCAGACAAGGAAGATAGAAGAAGCAGAGGGATTTAGTATAGGGAGGTGTTTGGGATGAAGGAGTCTATGCAAAGAATGGAGAAACAAGGCTGGAACTATATAGTAGAGACCTCAGTTCCAGACAAAGGCATAGTATAACTGATAGGATTTATGGGACACTTACTATGCACCCAGTACTTTCTTTGGAGTATCTTAATGAATCCTTACAAACTCCCCTATGAGACAGTAGCTTGTCAGTGAGGATCAGAGACACAAGAGCTAAGCAATTAATACAGTTTATAAGTATGGAAGGTATTGGAACCCACTCTGTCAACTCCAGAACCTATGAAACTTTTAACCACTGTGCTGCCTTATGCTCATCAGCTTTACTACCTAGAGTTGCTGTTTCCTCAGATCTCTAGTTTTGCAACCTCCTATGTGATGGTTTTATTTTTCAAATAGCACAAAAATAGCCCTTTGTGAGATTTTATGTAGGGAAGGTGGAACCTCTGCTATTTTGAGACAGCGTTCTCCAACCCAAGTTAGGGTACTCTGGGACTAATATCTCTGCTCTCAGAAAGCCCTAGGGTTCCTAGCTGCAGCAGTAGTCTCTTTAAAGCTTATTTATTGCAAGGGACAATCAGGGTCAGCTAATCCAGGACCTGCAGCTAGGCATGCAGAGCACTGTGGCCAGGCTCCACTCATGGTACACAAGCAGAGCCATGGGCTTTTCACACACCCCACCCCCTTTCAACTTGCTACAAGTGTTAGATATAGTCTAGAAGCCTGAGGTAACTCCTAGATGTAAAATGCAGGATATAGACCCAAGAACTCCTGCATCCCAGCAAGAAGGAAGCCAGACTGTCTGCTTTTACTAACTGAATTGAGAATTCATCTTTCCAGTGAAATTGAAGCTTTGCTGAAGAGTTATCGCCCCCTGGAGGACAATACTATAACATATTTCTGCAGGTACTCTGGAGAAAGATGCCCAACTGAACTGAAATACACATACTTTTCCTAAAGAGCAGGAAAATCACGGCTTTGCTAAGACAACCTTTTAAAAAGGTAAATTGTATTTATTTGAGTGTCTGAGTCGCATCCATTTTAGAAAAGCTTTCACAAATTAGATAATCCATTTTCAAGCTGCTTCTTCCAAAATAATCTTTATATCCTCACTAATGAGAGCTTATTTTCCCAATGGTCAATTGCATTATTCAGGTAAAAGTACTTGTAAAACAACAATCTCTGAAAGGTATTATAAATATTTTACAATATATTTACATCCTGTTCGGATGCAGGAAAGTTAAATTTCCACATATTTAGTATGAAATTCTCCATATACATAGAGCTGAGAGGTGTGTCATAGGTTAATAATTTCCCTGTCTGGATTCGATGTGTAGATTTTTAGTTAACAGTGCCTTAAGTACTTAAAAAAAAGAATCTTTAAGTTAGGTTGCCATGAATCATATACAAGCCATTGGAGGAGAAGATTAATTCTTTTGTTTGTTTATTATAAAATAAATACCAGGCTATGGCACCCATTTGTGATCAGAATTGAGAGGAAGTGCTTTTCCTGACAGCTTGTGGGAATGCTCTGTCCCCTAAGGCCAACAGTGTATATTGCCAATGAGTGAAAAGAACTGACTAAGACTCAAGTCTGCACAGAAAGAGGCCCAACATGCATGCTTCAGCTTTGATCCCAGCTTGACTCTTAATTTTTCAAACCCTTGGAGGTGGAGAGCTACCTAATTTGGGACTGTACGTTCCGTGAAATTAACTATCAACTCAATATCCATGGCGCATACTCTCTTACCTCTATCTTACCTTCTAAATATTTTTAATAACAGCTTCTTTTCTCAGTCTTCTTTTTTGGCATCTCTTTCTTAACCCCAACCTCTTAAATTCAGAACTACCTAGGAATTTTAGTTTAATATTTGACAATGTGCTTATCTTTGAAGCAAGGAAATCATAAAACATGCCAATCCAACTGGAACATTTTTAACAAAGTGATGAAAAGTTATGTAATGGAAGATTTAACTTTCAAGAACGCTTTGGCAAATTGTAATGCAATAATATACAAAATCTGCCAGGTACGCATTGTTCTTTCCTACATCCTTCTCTGATTCTCAACAATATTTCTTGTCCTGACATCAACAAACATAAGGCAGCCTCGGATGTGGGTAGGTTTTTCTTATTGGCTTAACACTTTCATTTCGTATAGTAAGTTCTCTATCTGGCAGAGGTAGGAAGTGGAAAATTCTGCTTAATTAAATGTCCCTGTTACTACAGCCAGGTGAACTCCTAGATTACCAGGGCTAGGAGAGTCTTAGGGATGAGCTAATCTGCTTATTTTACAGGTGTTGAAATTGAAACCCTTCCAGGCTTGCAGATTAGCACCCATGTCCTCACGTTCCCTATCCAGTGTCCCTTACAGGACACTACCTTCGTCTCTTGATAAATTGTTTCCCAATCAACAAAGAAACAATAACATAATGATATACACCATGAAAATGCCACTGGCCATCAGCAACTTTCTTTGAGGATTTGAAAGGCATGTAAGGCTCCCACATCGTCAGAGTCACAGTAAATAATATTTATGATTCCAAAAACCTTCTTGTTCTTTCAAGATAGGATGAGGGGATCAGTTACCTTTAAAAATAGCCCTCCAGATAACATGCTCCATGTTGAGCATGGCTTGGCTTCCCAATGGAGAAATGGGGAAAATAATCCTGGGGCAAGTTGCTGGAGAGGGAGAGTTGATACGCATTTATTTCCTTGAGTAACAACATAAACCACACATGACCGAGGACAGCCCTGCTTGGCAGGAGGAGAATGACTGTCCTTAAATGACGCCCTTCTCATTTCCCGAGCTCTTGTCAGCTTGGCTTCCCAAACTGGTATCACTCATCTGTCAAGTTGACTGGGTCTGACCCAGACAGAGCAAACCAGAGGCAATCTTGATTACCACACATTTGTAAATGCCCTGTCCAACTCATTCCGAAGTCCAAATAGGTGAATCGGAATTTGAAAAAAAAAGGAGGAAAAAAAAAAAAAAAAAAAAAAGAAAATCTGCATTTCTCACCCCACATTTGCCCACACTCATGATATGGATCATCCCAAATGACTGACTGGGCTACACAGACCCAGCCAGGGGTACTCCTCAAGATTCAACACTTTTTCACCCAACTTGGGGGAAATTATGCTGTAGAGGCCACAAGGGGAACATAGAGTCCCATGATTTCATTGGTGGATGACAGTAAAAAGGAAAGACAACAGTTTTATGGCTGTAATCTCTTCAATAGTAAAAGAACCAGAAGCTAGTGAGGATCACTTAAGAAGCATTCATGTGTGCATAAGTGAGTGAGTGTGTGAGCGTGTGTGTGTGTCTGCAAGCACATTGGGGTAACATGGAATTGGGTTCTGAAACCATTAGGAAAACAGACGTTGGAAACATTGAAAACAAAGTGTATCTGCCAAATTGGGCCTAGGAATGGCCTAAGTTTCAGGTTTCTGGGGAAATCACTAGATGTATTTTTAAGGCTGTCTCCAAGTTCAGTGCAAACATTTACACTTGTCACTCATTAGTGGCAACTGAGTTGATCAACTTCATAAGTTGTATTTCCTCTTTGGCTGCAAAATGTTCTGCATTTTGCTCACCATTTTTTGCTTTCTTTCCCTGTGGATGTGCAGGTGTCCAAATGCCACGAGTTCTCTGGATCTGACCTTAAAAGCTAGGCCTGAAATGAATATATTGTGGGTCTCTCTGGGGTTGGGATCAAAACCCCATGCTTTTTGTTTTATTCTTTTTAGTTTCTTACAAAGAAGAGTTTCTAACACAAAAGGCAATCTGAAATCTGGCTGTTGGTCTAAGAATTAACAAGTAATCTGTTGTGCTAATGGCATCTACTACTGAATAGATTTCCAAATAAAATGACCCATGGGGAGTAGGATTAGGTTAATTCACAGAAAGCAAGCTTCCTTGGGACTGTCTGCATTTCTACTGAAGGAAAACATCTGAAAGATACTGGTCTTCTCTCAAAGTCTTTCATTCTCACAGACAGCATTCTCAGTATTTGGGCTCTCTTAGGAGCCAGGTGCTGTGACAAGAGGCAAATGCAACGTGAGAAAGGAAGAAAAAAATCTCAGAAAAGTGCTGCCTGGAGCAAGTCTTCAAGGGGACAAACAGGCCTGACTTAAACTCACATTTTCAGCACTTCACCAATAACAAGACTTTTTATATTCACATTAAAACACGAACTGAGGAATGCACATAATGCACTAATATGCATAAGTCACAGATAAAGAATCTCTTACCAAATAATTCCACCTTTCCGTAACAATGGTTATCATTTACTTGACATAGCGCAAGATTCTGTTCCCACCTCTCCTAGTTCTCACAAGATTTATTATCAAGTAGATATTGTCATTTTTCTCATTTTACAGATGAGGAAACTAAAACTTAGAAAGCATCCTGCACGAGCAGAGCCAGGTCTAGCTATCTACAAAGTCTTTTGTTCCACCAATGTCACATTGCCTATTTATACAAAATCCTTTCATTTTATGAAGTCTCATCTTAAGACTCATCAGAAGTGGAGGAGGATAGGGAAAGCCATTTTTCTTAATTTGCACAAGAGGGAAGTGAGGTTCAAAAGAACAAAGCAAGTCTTACGTCACTCAGCTAGTTAGCAGAACTTGGTGTTTGGGAACTACAATGATTTATTCCCTTTTTAGACCTATCTTCCTAGGCCCAGCTCTGAAATCTTATATACACCTAAAGTAAACCAGGCTTCTAGATGGGGCAGATGTACATAGAGTTCTCAATCATGGGAATAACTTTTATTTCAAGGTTGCTCCTGGGATGGTGGGGATGTTGGGGAGGGTTGTGTCACTGGCAGTCACATCTGCCCTCAGTCCTACCATTTCTATGTACTCCAGCCAAATTCCAACTGGCACCTCCTGCATACATTTGCCTGAGGGTTTTTTGTGGCCACCACGGCACATTTTGCCACTTACACACAAGATTTGGAATGCCGGGGAGTTGCGTCTTTCAGGTGCAACACTCAACCTATGACTACTGAGAACTTGGCGCATAAACACCCAGACCCCTCACTCTTGGGAGCATATATTCTACCCCATGTTGCAGAGCTGCCCCAGCAGAACGAAGCTCAACCCGTAAGTCAAAATAATGGGCTTGGTGCGGCACCAATTTTTGCTTTCTTTCCTTGTCTTGATTTTTGACTTCCCTTTTGGTGTTTCCCAAAATTAACCTTTGGGAAACACTCCCTAAATAAACTCTTTGCGTTCTAATCTCATACTTATTGTCCACTTTTTGGGGGAACCCAAACTAAGTTACCTGAATGTACCCTACATCAGTACTTTCCAAAGCTAGCTAATGATCAGATAGATTGAGAACGCCTTTGAAAAATATAAATATGACTGTGTTACCCACATCTACTGAACTAAAATCTTGGGAGGCTGGGTTCAGGCCTCTGTCTTTTCTGTTAATCTCCCCTGTTCTGAAGATCTAGTGATTAGTCAGGATACCAAAACGGACCCATAAAGCATCCTGCACTGGAAATTATTTCTGGAGCATTGCATTTGGCAAAACTTTGCTGCCACAAAAAACAAAGTGAACTCTGTTACTTCATGAAGAGTGAGTGTCATGGGAACCCACGATAATGTTCCCTGTTTTGCCTTACATCCTGGGACTATCAAAAGTAAAACAAATCTATGCTTGAGATATACAACCTTACAGCCCATCTAGCTGTAGCCTAATTTCCTCTACTTTTGGCTATTTCATTAAGTCATCAGTTACTCTGATTATTCTACGTTTGTTATTTGTATGCTCCCATTTTATAAGTATTTATTTTTTTTTACCATTTCTTACATCCTTTATGTACTAAGGAAGAAAATGGCATTTATTTGCTGTCATTTACATTTCTCTCAAATTTATAAATTGTTCCTGGACTCATTCTATATTGCTCAAGTTCTGATTTCTTACAATTTGTTTCCCCAAACTTGCTTTCCTGTTCCAGAAATATTGGATATCCATTTATCCTATGTTATGAAACTGCCTTAATCACCAAGATCCAAGATCAGACACAAGTTCATTTCTCCTAATCCCACAGCCCCCCAGTAGCTTTTGCTAATTTGATCCCCATTCACCCTGGAAGGACGGAGGTAGAGTAGATGAGAGCATTATTTTTCAAATGAGGAAACTGAGACCCAGAGATGCTAAGTTACTTTTCCAAGGTGTTCCCTGGTAAGAGCGCTGTGACTTCAGAAAGCTCACTTGACACCAAAGCTTATGTTCTGTCCATTCCCATTTATGAGGCATGAACACCTTTGGAGACGCCTTAGGCAATTGCAAGAAGAAGAGTAATGATCTGGCTTGACAGTTTCTTGGTTTTCTTTGGAGTGAAAAAGGCCCACATTCATCTCTTTACTCAGATTTGGCAGATTATCTTATCACTGTTGCTGCTGTTCTAAGAACAAATAATACATTCGTAGCTTTATTGTTTCATTTTATCAATTTGCGCTTTCCAACTGATGCCATATATGATGGGCTGAATTATAACCAAAAGTAGTATGTTGAAGCCCTAAGCCCTAGCGCCTCAGAATGTGACTGTATTTTGAAACAGTGCCTTTAAAGGGATAAGTTAAACTGAGGCTATTAAGGTGGGCCCTAATCCAATCTGACTGGTGTCTTAAGGTGAATCGGACACAAAGAGAGTCACCAAGGGTGTGTGTGTTCAAAGCCTCAGTGAGAAGTCAGCCATCTGCAAGCCAAGGAGAGAGGCCTCAGAAGAAAGCAAACATGCCAACACCTTCATCTTGAACTTCTAGCTTCAAGCGAGCTAAGAAAATGAATTTTTACTGTTTAATCCAAACAGCCTGGGCTACTTAGTTATGACATTCCAGCAATCTACTACACCATATTAACCCTTCATCTCCAAGGAGCAGTTTGGAAAGTTTTTTTAGTACGTAATATGGGAAAATTTTAGGAAGTGCAAATGATCAATTAACACCATCTCATTTTGAGTCCTCTATATGTATCTTTCTGTGTTGCCCTTAGTTTTCAGGAGCAGCTTTGCCTTTGTAACAGATCTACCTCTGTCTTTTGGAAATGACCTGTGCTGAGAAGTATGTATAGCACCTCTGAGAAGCAAGAACTTATGTGTAGATACACGATAGCGAATGAGACAAAATGAATACATGACCAGATCATGCTGCCTCTATTTCCAGATAACTATTTTAAAGAGGAAATAGCCACATAGAATGAAACATCTAAATTGGGAGAATAATACAATCATCTGCATTTAATTACATTTGAATTCTTATTCTACCCCCTGGCCCAGCTTCATTAAAAATTTTCATTTTTTTTAGAGCTAAAAATCCCAAATACCCCATTAAAATACTTTTCCTTAAAACCAGGGCCTACAAAATCAGAAGGCTTTATTAATTCCCTTCCAGCAATTTTTGCAATACATTGGCTCTGTTTACAACTCCAATGATCACTTCTGAGATTGGGAGATCTGAAAACTCTGACCAGGATTGTAAATGATGGCTCTTCTCTCTTTCCTCTCAAAGAGTAACAAAAACACTGTAATTATAATCGGCTTACCATTTGGTCAATGGTACTCACAGCTGGCTCGGCTCAGTTAGCAGGGGCTTTGGTTCTGCCAGTAGGAGGCTCAAAAAGACTTCTGCAGTCAAGAAATTTGGAAGCCAGAGACAGTGGGAAGCCTATTTAGACAGTTCACTGGGCCATAGATTTAGCTACAATAAGAGACAAGTGCAAAGGAACCCAATTAACGGTATTTTAATTTGCCTTATGGAGTGGTTAAAAAAAAAAGAGTTCAGGACTTTTGCTTTTGTTTTAGTTTGCTTACAAAACAAAAATAACTTCAATGTTTTAAAATCTAAGGATATAAAATCATGTAGAAAATGAGAGCAATAATAAAAGACACTAAGAGAAATTATAAATTATTCCAAAGCCACTCAGGAATAAGTATTCTTTCCTTATCTTTGATTCCTTTTAGACCTCTTCTGTCAGCACACACATTTCTAAAATTTCATCTAAAAGTGACATTTATGCACATTATTAAGATCCATTTAATAAATCCCTATGTCCCTCTCAATAATATTCAGGACAGACCCCTTTATGCTGACATGGTACTTCCAGATCAACCTTGTCCAGTTTTCTGGTATAATCTCGTCTCCATACTCATAACCCACTAGGTTCCTACCTATTATCTTGAATTTCTGGAAACAACAGCCCTCTAACCTGCCATCCCACCCATTGCAACCCTTTGAAGAGCTCCAAGCTAAGATGGGAGCGTGATCAACTTTCTATTTCTGAAAGCCAACTGGCAGCAGCATTTAGAATGAATTTTCAAGAATGTGAGGACAATTAGCTGTAAGTAGCTCGGGTATTTATTGTACTAATTCTCAGGTGAACAAAAGCTAGAGGCATAGACCAGAGTTGTGGCAGTGGAGAAAGAAAGAAGGTGAATTTGAGAGATGCTTGGGGGATGCAACCAGGCATGTGTTAGATGCTATCTGTCTGTGTGTCATCATCATTTTGTAGTTATTGTTGGCTCTGGCCCTTACATTTAATGGCTCTGAAGTTCATGATTAAAATACATAGGGTTGATGAGGCTTTGCATAACCAGCTTATGAGTCTAGCACAGCAACATGGTTTCACTGTCAAGTTCAACGTGATCTAGCCAAAAGTAGGCTTGATTTAAACTGTATCACAGAATAAATGGTCTCAAATCTTTTATACTGGTTGTCAGAAAAGGATGGAGTTAATTTTATTTGAAGA